ACTTGATTAATAGAAAATTTAAAAAAAAAACAGCATTCAGACACTCACGAAATCTAACCATCGAGTAAACCAAAGAGTATATGAATTACAAGAGCACACGGATACGATCTAATCAAAGAGTATACAATTTTTGTTGTAATAATTGATCATCGACATATATTTAATCATATCCTCGAATCCACTAACCCGCAATAGTCAGTGGTAGTGCCCGCTTTAACATGTTAGCAGTGCAGGGCCGGCACGCCCCCAGTAATACCACGACCACACAGAAGTCTGGCATGAAATGGAAGCAATTCCGTGTTTCGTCTGATGAGTGTGGTGCCGGAGCCCTAATTTAAGTCTATTTCTCTTTACCACCCTTTTCTTATAAGGAGAGGATAGGAAGGGGAAGTGGATTTGACGGTGGAGGAGATGCATAGGAAGGGGAACCGCTTGCCACCTAATGTTATAAAAAAAAGAATAATGTGGTTGACTATGACCTAGTCACCCCCTAGCGACCGCTGCCCATAGACATCCACACTTGCAAATGCGTTGCCTACCCTAAATCGACGGAGGAGGAGACGCACATTAAGAGGATATTTTCTCCTCCACCGTCGAATCCACTTTCCCATCCAATCCTTTCTTTAATAGAAAAAGGTGAGACGGGAAAGGGACTAAGATTGGGCCTCCGGCACCACACTCATCAGACTAAACGCGGAATTGCTTCCACTTCACGCCTGTCTTCTGTGTGAACGTGGTATTACACCGCGCGAGCCGACCCATTCGTGCCAAGATTAAAGCGGGCTCTACCAATCTACCATATTTATCAAATAAGTAAGAATAATAAATGTATTTTCAGATCGAATTCCCACTCCCAGCCGAGTATGCGCGAGGAGGGCTGCACTAACATCAACAGCCACAAGTCGCTGCCCGACCTGCATGCGCAGGCGCACACCTACCCCGAGCCGTCAGTATATCTTACTAATATTGTAAACTAGCTTTCGCCCGCGGCTCCGTCCGCGTACAATTAAAGAGAAGTAAATAGCTTATGTGTTCTTCCAAACTATCTTCTACATTTACTCCATTCATCTAGATCCGTTCAATAGTTTAGACTACGGTCGCTAGCAAACATCTATCCATCCATCTAGACTTTCGAATTTTTAATAATAATCACGATGCGAAAGTTTAGATGGATGGATGTTTGTTAGAGTTTGTAGCCTAAACTGCTGAATAGATCTCGATGAATGGCATAGATGTATAGGATAGTCAGGGAGAACACTTCCGCTACCTGCTTTAGTTTTCTTTAATTTCCTGCGGACAAAGTCACGGGCGAAAGCTAGTGTTTATATAGATTTTTGTCATTACCAGAAAATTTCTAAAAATTTTATGCCCATAGATAATTTTTAACATAAAAATCTTTCACAGTTATGTGAAACGAATATATCTATACTTATCTTATAAAGAAGAAAGATTTGTATTTTTGTATGTATTTAAATAACTCATAAACTACTGGACCGATTTCAAAAATTCTTTCGCCATTAAAAAGTTATATGAGTAACATAAGGCTATGTTTTTACTGTATTTTGTAATTTCACACTTATATATGATAAAATATATAAAAAGTGCAATTATTTGTTTCCAGTGCGACAGTAGGCGGCACAGATACTTTAGGCCGGTCTCCGCGTAGACGCAGACATTCCGCGCACCATCGGACAGCCTCCTGCTCCTCTAAAGGCACCAGGTAACTATCCGATATACAGTGGTCTCTACCATCTTCTTAGCGTGCCGGCTCGCCCCAGCAATACCACGACCACACAGAAGACTAGCGTGAACTTTTCGAGAACTAAAATCAATGAAAAATTGCCCCATGTCGCGCTATACGTATTCTCAATATCATGTCTGAAGATATCTATACTATTATAATAAAGCGTAAACACACACTTCTTTGTTGCCTAAGATGTCAGAAATTACAGCATATTTTTGAGTAATTCTTTTTTTAATAAAAAAAGCCCTACACATACGTCACACTTTAGGTTATATATTTTCACGTCATTAAACTTAGAGGTTAAAGATTTTGGATAAAAACCCTAATGTGGGAAAGAGACCATAAGTTGCTGCCAACATGAAGAAAGCAAGATTGCTAAGGTTTGTTATGTCATGTCATATTGACATTTGCTATTGATAATTTGACAAATGTAAACCATAAAATAAAATTTTCATAATTACATGCGGATGAAGCCGCACTAGAACAGCTAGTCTTTTAATAATAATAGATTTTAAACATACTTTCACCGTTAGAAAGGTAATTTGTCTGTGACTAGCATGTATATTTTGTTAATTTCACGCGGGTGAAGTCGCGAGCAATAGTTAGTAAACAATCAAATATTTTTTTTACATTTTAATGCAGATAAAGTCGCATGTTAGCAGCTAGTATTGTTTAATGTGGATTTATAGTTAATTTTTATTTACAGTTGTTATAGATCTAATCATTCGTCGCTGATATCTTCATGTGAAGCTTTCTCCGAACATCCCTCGCCTGGGGAAGAGAACTACCAATCATATAATAGGTAAGTCACTTTGATGTTGTAGAGCGTTGTCTCTTTCGCACATGTTATTACAGTAGTGTGTGACAGAGACAATGCTCTACAAACACAAAAGTATATCACTTTTTTGTTACAAGAGAAGTTGTCAGAGACCTGTTTTGTTTTTTATTTGTAAATGAGTTTAATATATTTTTGGTAGGTAATAAATAAAGGTTTTTTGCAAATACGTAAAGAATGGCCTCTTTAAGAAAAGGTGCAGTACTATTGAACAACAAATGTCATAATAAATTTTGCAGACGAAACAATTAATAATATTAACATTGTTGATGTTAGTATTTTATTGTAACTATTACTTTTCTCCTGTCTTTTCCTCCCCGTGGAATTAAAAAACCCAAAAGTACGGCCCTTGTGTTCTTCCAGACTATGTTCTACGTCTATGGCAAATATTGAGATCCGTTCTGCAATGTAGGCTACAAACTCTAACAAACATCCATCTAAACTTTCGCACTTAATATTAGTATGATGTTAGTACTTTTTTTTATTATTCTAATCTATAAATAACAATAAATAGACATGTACCATTAAATTTTTTGTAAACTTTTGAAAACTATGGCATGGAATATTTTTTTTTTATTTATTTATTTATTAGTACAATTGTATAATATGAATGAAATATGTCAGTCGTTGCGGGTCGTCGTTCGCGCGCGACTCGGGCGGCTCGAGCGGGCACTACACGCAGCGCAGCGCGCCGCCGCACGCGCGCCCGCCGCGCGCCGACTCCGGCTCCTCCACGCAGCACGAACACGCCAGGTTGCACTGACACTATTTACCTTTTCCTTCTTAATTTACCTTGAACAGCTTCACGTCACAAACTTACTAAATACACACATTGTAGCAGTTTAAACACTTACATCTTTGACTAAACATCGCACCACTGTTGTGCTATAATCTAGTCTATTCAACTGTTTAGTTGTAAAACTAAAAATCTAGTAGTTTGCGCACCTCCATATAAACTCATAGGAATCAAAGCGCGACTAAATAGTACGATTGTTTAGTTTCAGGTGTTCTATTAATGACATTGTCAGCTAGTGAAATGTGTTATTTTTTTTTTAATCAGTATTTTTCTATTTTTTTTTCAAACATTACAGCGAAATATATATTATACTCGTAATACGATATTCTTTTCAAGGATTGATAATAGTTGAAACTTGGATATAGCAACACTGATTGAAAGTGTAAACGATCATAACTTACGTGATT